TTGTACATATTGTACACACCTTTAGAATTTACAAACGCACCTTTGGCATTTGGAAAGCTTGGCTCGCAACGGGAGCTTGAATCGGCCGTAGATTGGCCACATGCGCTTTTGTTCCTTGGCCGTGCATTATTTAACGGTCGGGGCGGCGTGAGACGCTGCGAGACGCGTGCGGAATTCTCACGGCGGTTTGCGACGGGAACTCAATGTTACGACGCGTGGACGCTGTATCAATTTTGGGCACCGTTAAGAATCAAGTAGTTGCCCTGGGCTTAGCCTTCCATTGTGAGCGCCAATGTGCCAACGGTGGCTGAAACGTTATGCTTTCGCTTCACGGTGGCACCGCGTCTCTCCATCTGGATTATACTTTAATAACACATTTAACCTTTCCCTTTGTAGAAATTAAACAATATAATTAACATTAAGCTTTTTTATATTTGAGGAGGACCGCTGGTGCGGTGGTTAGCGCACTGTGCTATGAACGTGGTGATCCCATTGAGATTCCCAGCCACAGCTAACATCAGTGGCGAGAGCTATCTGAACCGGTCTTGCACCCTCCGCCCCCTCCATCAACTCACTCTGACCAACGTGGTGAAGTATAGTCAAACAAACTCACATGACTGACAACATCATGAGAAGTCCTTTATACGGCAGTGGATTTACAAAGGAGTATAAATTATGATTACCATGAGGTATTTTAAAAAATATTTGCCTTGTCACTGTTGACATTGTTTTACAAAAAAAGGTTCTTGCATTGGAATGATCAGTCTTAAAGTATTTCTACAGAAAATAAAAATCCTCACTTCTTCATGCCACCGAATGTGCTTTGAGGTCCGATGCAAGAGCTGTGAAACCGGCCCAGTGGTCGAGCAAACGGCTCCCGATCACAAGGTTTGCGAGTTCAAATCCTGGTTGGTGATTGTAGGAGCCCATCCATCCCTCCAGGGGGCATTAAATGAATACCGTTTTGTAGAGAAGTAAATTGGTTGTCCCGTGGAGAGGCTCACCTCCGCCACAGGAGTGTAGAATTTTCACCACTGGATCAGGGTTGGTAAACAGGAGATGAACGCCTCCTCAATGCTCATTTTGAGGTGCAAATCACTTGGACTTTTGGCCAGTACCCATACATGTGTAGTGACACTGTTGCATGTCACTGTGTGAATCCGGCCTGGGAGAGGCACGGCGAGCGATGTACTGACATCGCAGACACCACCGAAGGTGGATGCAGTACCGGCCCTAGCGGGGCTCCAGGAGCACTGACTGACAGCAACCAGTGGCACCAGGTGCTGCATGCAGTGCCAGCCCTACAGGATAGGGTGCGGGGGTGCCGGTCCCAGAACGGGGTTTCAAGAGGCCATGGCACTCTGGTTGACCCTGGAGGACACGTGACCGGAGGCGTCTACCCAGGGACCCTCAAAAGGGGACTGGGGGTCCACCTGTGAAGTTGGAGATCCTCCTCGAGCATTCGAGAAGGTGGTCGTGGCTAGGAGCGGAGCGAGCCCCGCCACCCAGAATATAAGCCGGGCCCCCCAGTGGGAGCGGCTGCTGTTGTTATCCTCAAGTCTCTACGTTCTACGCCCTGCGTCCGAAGACAAGTCACCAATACGGGGACCGGGACCCAAGCCAGGGTCCCGTCCATCGTAGCTACTCCCAGTGCAGTTAGTGTAAAAAGCCTGATGGACCACCACCATAGGTTATTATCTGGTGAAGGGACAGTTACCCCTTTGTGTTAGTGTGTTGGTATTAATAAATGTGTTGCCTCTAAGAGTACGTCTGAGTGTCCATTTGAGCCCACTACACATGCGGTGCAACCTTTCTTGCCAAGCACGGTCATAGCTCATTCCTATCGCTTCTTGGAAGTGCTTAAGGTCAGGTTTAGTTTTCCCGTCGGAAACCCAAACCACCTTCAATGCCACCAACCTCCCCTCCCCACCACCCCGCCCCAAAGGCTTGATCCAAAAATCCACAAAGGATGCGCTGTCTGTGCTGTCTTGTGATATCAATCAATATGTTTTATGGACTCGAAGCATTCACATCAGCCCGTGTGCAAGCACTAGTTCGATTATTACATCACGGAATTGTGAGAAATGGCAGTGGCTTGGGGAGGCCTTAATCCAGCAGTCGTTTGACTGTGGCTGATGATGATTGTTTTTAGAGGCATAACTGATAGCAGTGCGTGCGCACATGCAGGCTTGTGCCTTGATGAATCTCAGAATCTGGTCGGGGGAAGGGGAAGCACTAGAGCTCGGGCACTTGGTTGATTATGTCAATTAACTGGCTAACAATTATAATTGACTTACTTGTTTGTGGTTGATTACTCGGGCCCTTTGAAAAAAACACAGCCTGTCTCTTGAAGGCTGGAAACCCCCCCTGCAACCAACGTCCAATGTGACGTGATGATGATGTTGATGATGTCACCAAGCTCCGCCCATCACCAATGATTGTGTTGTCCGATTCGTCGAGTAACCGAACCGACCATCAGGTAGAGTCACAGAACCCTCACTTAACTGGTTTGCCCGGGTGTGGAAGTACGTGCGAGCAAGTGAGCAACCTTTGAAGAAGCACAGCATGCCCTGGTAGATTGTGTTCGCGAGCAAAGTTTTTATGAAACCTTGGGAGTATACCAATAAAATACCGGGACGCAACACTGTACATCTCGTATGATAGACACTCTGAAAAAATCTGAATACTAAAGCGGTGCACAAACGGCATTGTGCCGACCTGCAACTGCACCGTTAGCTCTTTGCGTCACTTGTATGCAGAATGTTGGCTTCCAGCATTACCAGGGATTCATTTCTCACATAATTTTTCCAGGTCGGTAGTAGACTGGTGTAGATGGCACAGGACCAGTAGCCACGGCCATGGCGAGAGGTTCTGGATGTGGTGTGCCAGGCGCGTAACAATTTCTGGTTGCCAACGCAGACAGACCGAGCTGAAATGAAATTCTGTATTCCATTTCCAGAAAGCGGTATAAATGGGTGCACCACTTTGTCAATCACGTGTGGTCTGGGTACCCCCCCGCATATTCAAAGTTATGAGGCCGGCATGGAAGAGGCCAAATACATTGCTTATGGCTCTCTACTGCTTCCTCTAGTAAAGACCCTTCCAAGCAATTGCGGAGCTGCACCTTAACCTTTACCACCGATCCTCTTTCGCATTTGGAGATAAGATGAGATTCACATACGGGCTCAGATTCTCATGAAAGACAGCTCTCGGTAGCTTTAGTGTGATTTAATAGGTCCATAGAGATGGGAATGAGCAAGTCACTTCAGCGAGCTCAACAGCCCAATTATGGGTTCAGTTTCAGAAAGAAGGGTTGTCTTGCCTCCTGTGCAGCACCACTCATGGGCCACGAATGGTATGCATGTTCATTCACATGCAACAGTTTCTCACATGTGGCCCTTAGGTCAAAGATTAGATTACACGTAACTGCTTAATCTCACAGCCAACATTTTTTTCCGTTAAGTTTTCACAAACCACAAAGTAATTTATATATTTAGCTTAACACATGTTTTTTTTCTGCTTGCATAACGTTTTTCTTTTTTTACTTGGAATGTTGCCTAATCTCATCATTATCTTGTAAGCCAAGTGAAGTTGAGCCTGGCTTGTGCTTGGATGGGCGACCACCAGGCACAGCAGGTTGTTGTAGGCAGTGGGGCTACGCTTTTGATGGCAGAAGGCAGTGCAGAACAATCCAATGTTGTACTGAGCTTGTATGTTTCCCCACCTTCATCAACCCGCACTGATAAGAGTGGTGAAGTACTTTAAAATAAAACGACACGACTTGTGCGACCAAGGGGAGGGTCCTCATCCAGCAGTGGATTTACAAAAAGGGTGGGACATGAACGTACTTGTTTCACACATTTCGATTTACACATTTCGATATCCACATTACCCATCTGCATTGTTCTACGTGGAGCTGTGGCAGACGATGCGAGGGCATGCAATTTCACGTGTCACGGAGTCTTGAGCCTTGTGACCGCTGCTAAGCCACAGGTGTACCCAGGGTGGATATTCTCGCCGTTTTATTTTCAATCCTCATCGGCATCCGACGTCGATAGGAATTGCCGTGGCTTTAATAAAACTGATTGTTTCTATATTATTCATGAAAACCTACCGCGACTATAATATGGAATGATAAATCGGGCTCGGCAATGTTGTGGTTCTCTCAAGTAAAAGTTTACACACTCGCACAGAAAACTTTCTCCTTGTGTTTAGACTTTCTCTCGATTGATCAGACAAGCCTTGAACTGGTTTATTTCAGTTGGCAATGACTCAAAAAAATCCAAACACACCTTATCTTTCAACAATTTGTCTACCTTGTAAACGTTCGACATTATACTTGATATGGCCAGTCTTAAAACCTGAAATGCCTTGATGACACCGTCTGCTGAATGGAACAATTGTAAAGGGTGAAGAGGTGCCAGCATTAAAGGCGGTGTGGGCATTTGAGACTCCCCAACCACATCGGGCCCCAGACATACAAAGACAAAGATCCCTCACATAGCCTTAACAGACTGTTGGGCAAGTGCTTTCAGTGAGCACCTATTAAGGCCGGCATGGCACACAAGGGTGGCCAGCACCGCAGCCGACCGCCTTTGTCTCAACAGTGGTGATGTTTACACCACCCACCAGGTACTCATTTGAGGCCGAGTCGACCTACACACTTAAACACACACAACCCCAACCATCGCTGCTGGAAAGCACTCCAATGCAAGTAAAAATCTGTGAATTTTACAATGAAAATTGCACAAGGGCATGAAAATAACCCAATCTAACAGCAAATAATGAAGGTAGTAATGCTCCTATTGTTCATATTTGATAGTATGAATAAACAGCCTTAATTTTTTTTAAGTTTTTTTTTCATGGGCCACTTTAACTTTGGAGCCTGGACAAATATGTCTTTTGTTCCCTCTGTACCTGGTGCCACTCCTGCTGCACAGTGTTTCGATTTAACGTGGCAACCTCACCCCCTACCCCCACCACCATTGCCTCTGTTCCAGAGGAACGATGATGAGGCTGTGCTGGACCGGGGCAAGACGAGCGCCATCCTCTTGACAAACTTCGAGAAGGAGGAGCTGGAAGGTGAGCAAAGGGCCACGTGTGCTCACCTTGTGGTCACGGTACGGTTTGGTCATTGAGAGCACTGGGTGATACGGTAGCCCAATGCAGCACGGCAGTGGCTGTATGTACACGTATGTTCAACTTCCTTCGCACCGTATGTAGCCAACCGTGTTATTTGGAGGTGCGTCGCATGTAGAATGTAGATTTTTTTTTTCAAACAATCACCCCTGAAGGATAGTGGGCTCAGTTGATACCTGATCAAGATTTGAACTCGCAATTTACAACTGTGAGCCGTGCACTCTAACCGTCCGGACCAAGCAGCTGGGATAAGATAACTGTTGTGCCAGGAGATATATATTGTTTATCTAGATAAAACAAAAACTAAATAAGAGAGCCTCAGTTTGTTTTATGGAAGCAGCAGCAGCTCACCCGTCGATTGTGTTGACCTGGATTGTAAGCATGAGTCTGCTTTTTCTACCTTTGTGTTTCCCCGTAATGGCCCCAGATGTAAAATTTCATTCTTCCATCCGGTTCTTTTCTGCACGCAACAATGGCTGTGGCTACAGGGGTAGCTGTGGAATCGTGGTTTGCACAGCAGTGACTTTAGCTTGGCCCCTTGAGGGCAGGATTTTGGTGTAATCTTCGCTGCAAGTTTTCCTGGGACCGTACAGTTAAGTATTAATACACCACTCAAGCCCATGCATTTACATGTCATTCTTCCCTCTCCCAGTGATGTGAGATATTCTTCTATTCATGATATGCTCCAGTTGTTGTGCCTCAGAGGTGGAAATCCCAGCTGAAAGCTGCCATCTGTCTCAAAAACCCTGTCGCTGTTTTACAGCACGCGGTAGGTGCATCCGCGAGCTCTAATAATCCAAAATACTGTATTTTTCAAATGCTTCTGGAATGTGTTTTCATTTAAAATAATTTCGTGAAATATTGTTTATTCCTGTTTTTTTGTGTTATTATTATTAGACACGCAAGACTTGGCACAGCTACTGAAATGCATACACTTGCCGAATGTTTGCCGAACAGGTCGATGTTAGAAATGCCATGACGCTTGTGAAGAGTAAAAAAAAAACTCGACCAACCAGTCGCAAGACCTGCTTCCAAATATAATGCTTGTTTCTTTTTAACACTGACTAGGACAAAGAATAATCCTTTGTATTTATAGTGACGTTATAGTACGCCATCGCCCCCTTGTCAACAAAATTCACTGCTATAGCTAAGCACGCTGGAAACCACAGCCTATTTTATGTCACAAATATTTTCCCCAAGCTTACAATGTGGCCTGTATAGCTCTAAGGGCAGGATTAGAGTTGGTGATCGTCACATCCATTTTTTTCTCCCATCTCCTCTCACCTCCATCCCCCTTTTTACCCCTCCATCGGGCCCTGTGGGAGCCAGACCTTGCCACAGCCCATTGACAACCCTTCACAGTGTTGCTTATAAAACCATGGAAGTGGTTAGGTCTCAAATGCAGGGCGGGGGTCAGCATCTCCGGCAACGGAGGAGCTCTGCTGATACGTTCACTTTCCATGACTTTCTAGAGTTGTCCCTTCAAGTTTCAATATTTATATTCGACACGGAGAATGAACAGAGCCAGCCAAGGACACTAGCGTGAACTTTCCCAGTGCTTACCGCATTGAGGATATATACATTTGTGCTGAATCATTGTTGTCACATTCCTTCTGAGCCTCCCCCTCTGCCACAGCCACCACTGCACGTCCAACAGAATGGCGGCTCACTGTGGCGGGAGAGAACCGCAATATTTTTTGCTTTTTTCACTTATTCATTCCGCTGCCAAGAAAAATTATTAGAAGTCGCTGACATGAAACGTCTTGTTAAAATTAAGGTTGTCACTCTTTGTGAATGACAGAAGGCTGAATGGTGTCTAGTGTTGGTCGTACGAGCTGTTTTATCTCCTTGTTGCGGTCTTGGACTTGTTAAAATATTTGGGTGTGTGTGTTGCGAATTACTTCTTGAGTATTATTTTACTGACTTTATTTGTTTGTTTACTTGGAACCAGTAATGTAGTTGTTCGCGCACAATTCCAGCAACTCAAGTTGAATTCCTGGCAATACACAATAATGGTTGAGTAGTTGCTCTGGAGATTGGGAGATTGTTGACCAATGTTCGGTCGCTGTGTTGATGATGGCATTAAAAAAACAATCAATCTTTATAGAATGTGCCAATATTGCTCTCAATAAAGTAGGCATCGGTGCACATAACCGCACCGCCGATTAGCACGGTTGGCTACGTATGGTGCGAAAGAAGTTCAATATACATATATTAGAGCGGGAATGGTACAGGGGCATAAAGCAACAGGAATGAAATAAATCAACCTGTCACGACCTCCATGGCTAACACAGGCATTATTCGTGATTTCTCACTTAACAGAGTGGGCCACGTAAGGCTGCCACCCGCCACTCCACAAGAACGGTGACCAAACCTTGGGCCAGTTACAACAACATTGTTGGCTAAAATTGCAATGACAGTTGTGTTGTGATTGTGATTTATTCACCATTACAAAAAATATCCCGTGTATTCGTAGTCGTGTCACCATGTGCATTTTTCCCCCTTATTAAGGAAACTTGCAGCCACTATTGAGAACCGTAGAAACCACAGCTTATACTGTATTTTATTTTGCGCCAAGGGCAGTATTCAGAGTGGCGATCCCTCGAGTTGGGACCCAACCTTTCCCGGAGCTGCGAACCAATGTCAACCCTCAAAAGCTTTTGTGGACCATGGTGTACCAATAACATATGTTTCAAAGCTAAATCTGCTTGTACTGTAAAATCTTCATATAAAAAGTTATGACATTTTTTTTTTATTATCTAATAAAGAAAATGTTATTGTGAAAAACAATCAGTGCCTGCAACATATTCTTTGGATCTTTCAGTAAAGTGACGTAGATAGGTTCAAAGAAAATAACAAAAAAATAACAAAAAACTATGACGTTTCGATCTCAACACAAGCGTTCGTCATCAGGAATAAAAAAGAGGGGGACAGCTGCTGAGGCAGGACTGTTTTAAAGGCTTAAAATGGGTGTAGCCCAAGGGTCATAAACGAAGTGGGTGGGGCTAGTGATGTTAATGTGAGAGATTAGCATGTTAATGTAAGATCTGAGGGCGGCCTTTGTGACGATGGCGTGGAGGTAGCTATGTTAATGTCAGAGATTAGCATGTTAGTGGGTGATCACAGAGCAGCAAAGTCGAGCTCGGCGAGCGAGGTGGCTGTGTGAGTGTGGGGAATTTCACCTGTTCATGTAAAATCAGAGAGCCGAAAATAACAACTCGCATCGGAAGGTGGTAGGATGGGAACATCGCAGCCAGTTATCACTTAAACTGGTTGATAACGTCCTTCCAATGATTGCTAAGTTTGTACCCATCTTCTCGATTTAAGTTGTGTCTGTATATGTGGATGGCTTCATAAACGAATCTTTGTTGATAGCCAGTGGGTTTGCAAAGTACCTTCGTCTTAGAGAAATCAATTTCGTGTGAGCCCACCGCATTAAAACAATGATCAGCCACGGCCGAGGTATTGGTCCTACCGTGTTTTCAGATCTGCCTTATGTTCACGAACACGGTCCCAGACATATCGCTTAGGTTCCCCAATGTACCTGCCTGCAACAGTTTCGCAGACCATGGGTTTGGGAACCCACTGCATTACACATTTATCCAGAAATTGTTGTGGACCTCAAGTTTGCCGGTGACAATTGCTTCCAGAACCTGGCCTGAAGCCTCCTCTATGCCACCTCAGCCCTAAAATAACTTGAAAGGTGTGTCGGCGCATCGCTGGCACTGGGAAGACAAAGGCGGCTAGCCGCGGAAATCTCCACACCCCCACCTCGCGTGTTGTGCCAGCCTTCAATCAGACTCGTAAAAATGTATTACTTTCATATTTTTTTTATAATTAGTGACTTCATATTCTTGATTCTTTCGTTAAAGTCACGTAGAAGGTAAATAATAAAAATAAAACGTAATAAAATGAAATTCTCACGACGTTTCGGCCACAACGCAAGCAGCCATCCGCGTTGTGGCCGAAACGTCGTGAGAATTTCATTTTATTATGTTTGATTTTTATTATTTTATTATTTCCCTTCTACGTGACTTTACCAAAAGAACCAAGAATATGAATCATTGCAGTCACAAAAGCTTTAAATCGAAAATTAGTGACTTGCTTACCTTTTTCACTATTTTTCACTCCTATCGTTATTTGTATTGTTTGCCATTGTAACTTGTTGACCCCCGCCCATACTGGACATCTGTGAAAAAGAGCTTCATCGCTCGCCAGATTCCTCCAGTCTAAATAAAGACTCTGATTCTTCTGATTCTAACATGCATTCGCTATAACCACACTTGTCCCTTGTCGGTCCCGCTTGCAGCTCACCGCACGGTCTACATCGGCCTACACGTGCCCTCGGGCCGCAGGAGCCATCGCCGTCACCGCCACCGCGGAGGCCACCGTCACCACCATCGTCGCCGGGTCCGTGACAAAGAGGCCAACGCAGACGACTCGGAGTCTGGGTGCCAAGGTAGGCACAGCCCTTTATTCAGAATGACGGAGAAATGCGGAGTCTTCTCATAGAAACCCACACCGATATTGGGGCTAAGCTTCCACGCTTGAAAGGCAATGCCTCAAACACCAGGGGCTTGCAACGTCATCACCATGTGCATTAGCAGCAATGATTTATCCACTGCTGGGTGAAAGCCTCCTAAAGCCATCACGAGCTCTCTTGGTACTGCGGTGTAACAATCCACCCAACACCTGGACACGTGCTGATTTCATCGCTGCATCTCCATGAAGGATGGAATCTCGGTCTGAACCACTGGCCTTCAACGCTTATAGCAACGTGTCCTGCCAAATCCCGCTTACTTTTCTTAACAGTTCAAAAGATGTCTCTAACTTGCTTATGTTTTCTCATACATGTGTTCATTTTTATGTTCGTCCGTGTAATTCCAAGCATGCGCCTTCTCCTTGCTTATTTGTTCTTTTATTTTTGTTCATGTCCACGCATCTGATCCAGGTAATATTGTACTTGTGAGAAACATTGTTCTTGAATCGCAATGCTACATTGCTTTCATTATCAAGTGAAACTGAAATTGGGTAGTGGAGCGAAATGGATGTATGCAGAAATTGCTTCAGATGTCAATCACAGCTCCGGGGCAATGACCCAAGCCAAACGGGAACAGACGCCAGAGTCTTTGTTGCTCCGAGCAGCTTGGACGTCCAACATTTACATTCGGTTGGCGTCACAAAACGCCAGGAGGCAGCCCGGAGAGTTCCACTGCCCCACTTTCCTTTCCAGTTTCCTCTCACCCTGCTGCGTTGCACGTGGCGAGTTTACGGCCTCGTCTAACGGCTGCAAGCGCCGGTCGCAGAGTCCCAGCTGCTTTTCCACGAAACGAGACGCCATCACCGGTTCGCTGACGCCGCCACCGCATTGGAAATGTGGAGTTTCGTGCGGCGAGAGGAATCTCAGCCGCGCCGTTCACGTAGACTAAGTTGGCAGCTGTTGGCCAAGATGGTAGCAGCTGTGACATAACCGGCGCTTCATAGCCACGCGTTCGCTCGTGAGCACGCCCGACAACGGGGACTTCCACCCAAAATAGCACGCGCACAGACACGCTCGTGTGAGTGTACACACGCACATGTACACTCACGCGCGTGTGTACACTCGAACTGAGATGAGCCATGCACTGTATTAATACGTAATGTGAATATCTTTAATATGTGTGCAGTCCGAGACGAACGCCCGTCATGAATAACCTGTAAATCACAGCTCGCTTTGACATTTATATTAGGTGCCTACGGTGACGTGTGGGAACAGAGATTTAAACTGTCGCAGCTATATAGGGTATACTTTTGTAGTGACATTGGGGATGTCACTGTGGGGTGCCATCCCGGGAGGGCCGTGGCGTGCGATGTACTTACGTCGCGGACAGCATCGTGTGTAAATTTTGATTTAAAGCTTTCGTGACTGCCACAACGCAAGCTTTCGTGACTGCTACAACGCAAGACAGTGTCTCCCCGACAGACCTGGTCTTCACCTGAGGACGGCTGCTTGCGTTGTGGCCGAAACATCGTGAGAATTATTTTATTATGTTTTATTTTTATTATTTTATTACTTCACTTCTACGTGACTTTACCGAAAGAACCAAGAAGAAGCATCGTGTGTGTTACAGAGTGATGCCGGCTCTAGCAGAGCACGGCGTGCGATGCACCGCCACCGCGTACACCCCGTAGGTGGGTGTAGTACCAGCCCTAGCGGGGCTTGGTGTGCGCTGGGATAGCGTAGGCACCACGCATGGCGTGCGGTGCGGGCTCCCACAGGGGGGAGCGAGAGAGTGTTAGTTCAGGGACAGGGTTGCCCCGGGCCATGGCACTCTGGTTGACCCCGTAGACACGTGATCCGGAGTGTCCATAGAGAGGCCCCCAGGTGGGGGGGGGGGGGGCTAGGGGGTGATCACGCGTCCGGGGAGAGCTCTCGAGAGGGATCGAGAGGGAGCTGGAATGCTCGCGAAGGTGGGTGGGGCCGAGGGAGGAGCCGGCCCCGACCCGGGAGGATAAAAGGTGGGTCCCTGAGAGGGACCGTGGTCGCTTCGTTCTACAAGCTGGAAGCTCCACGTCTACAAGCTGGAAGCTCCACGTTCTACGTCTGAAGAGGCACCAACACGTGGCCGGGACCCGAGTGAGGGTCCGGTCCATCGTCGCTGTAATTCCTGTGTGTAGTATAGTTAGCTGGGTGGTCACCACCCTAGGCTGTATCTGGTAAAGGGGCAGTTACCCCTTTTGTATATACGTGTTGTGAATAAATGTGTTGCCTCTGAAGAACAACGTCTGTGACTCCGTTGGACTCACTACACTTTGAATAGTACTGTATACGTGATACAGTGCCCTTTCAGATGTAAAGCGATCTGATACGCCTCAGGGTATCTGGCAGCTCTATATCAAAACATAATTATCATTGTTATTATTTTGGTACTGCATTTAACGTGTTCAGCACACTGCGTCCACAAACCCATCAACCTGAGTTTGATTCCTCGCCATGGCTAACATGAGTGATGAGCGATATGTGAACCGGTCCTGGCCCCCATCTTCACCAGGCCGCACTGACCCAGCGTAGTGAAGTATGGTCAAAACCATCCTCACTAACACAGCATGGGGTGGCTTTAAAACAGCAAATGGCATAGACAAAGGGCTGTAGAGAAATTATAGCATATACAGTGTATCTATTTATTCATAGAATATTTATGCAAAGCATGTCTGGTATTCAGCATGTGGTAATATCCTGTGTATACACATATATGTACGGATTGCTTTTGTATACATAATTCCATACGGGTGTTCAGTTTAGGTTGGTCTTTAGGCTGGTCATTAAGATTTCACAGGGAGCATTACTGGAGTGACTCGGAGCCACGAGGGCACGTCACGTTGCCCTTTAGCGCAGGCGCTGTGGCTCCACGTGCCGGCTGTCAGAAGCTTGGGAAACCGCGAGAACAAATCCTCCTCCGCGCTAAGACCCCTCGCGTCAGGATCGCATGCGGTCACGCTCGCCAATCTTGGCCCGGACACGGGGAGTGCGCGTCGGACGCACGAGGGGTACACTCGTTAACTTTCATCAAAAGAAAATTCCCTCAACTGTTTAAAAAATATATTATCCCCCGCCCCGTGTCCATGGCGACGTGCAAACGTAGGGGCATTCTGAGCTCGATGTGTTGCTGCGTTCGAGGTCGCCCTGCCCCACCATGTGATGCTGCTCCGCTTGAGGGTAGCTCTTTTCTCTATTTGTTGATCTCGGTACATCTCCATTCATTCCCCTCGGCTCTGGCGTATAGATAAACGAGTGTCTCGGGCAGCCTCGAAGCATTGGGGAGGAAGTGGCTGGAGGTGGTCGGCCCTTCTCACCCGCCCCCCACTTCTGCCAAAGGCTCAGCCCCCCATTCTAAATTGTTGAAGTTGGAATGGACACGATACCAAGCGCACAACTAAAACTAAGCCATGAAAGGTGTAGCCTTTCTACATACATGGGGGGTGGGGGGGGATGGTGGGGTGGGTGATAGCTTGAGCAGAATGCACGACAGACAAAAGTAGATCTCATCGTGCTCATTCTGTTCCGCATTAATATTTGTTTAAAGTTTTCCAACATTGTCTATGCCATGCCCCTCCTTGAGTTTTTTTTGCATGCTTCCCTTTCAAACAAGGTCACGCTGCAGGGCCAGTCTATGCTAGAGGGGGGGATGTCATGAGCAGCAGTCCCCCCGCGGTTTATCGCGGGGGGTTTGCCGGCTTTGTTTTCTCCCGCCCAGACGGCGGTGTTGCCAGGTGGCCTGACGTGCGGAGAAAGCCAAAGTAATCCCACGAGGGCCCACACGAGCTCTAAATATATGCCAGCGCCACCCTGTCAGCCGGCAGCGGGCACCAGGCCCACGCTTTTTGAAAGGAGCGCCGTGAATAATTTGTGACGACTCCGCGACGCATTGACAGCCGTCCCGCTTGACCGTGCCAGGTAATTATCCAAGCGAATCCACCTTCCAGGAAAGTGCCTTGAGGATTTAAAAATTGCAACTGCGCGAGCAAGGCAGTGCCAATAAAGCACGCATACCTCTCGTGAGTTAGTTCAAGTTCATTTATTAGGTATAGCCCTGTGAGCCATTCGGCTCTTGAATCGGGTGCAACAGCAACAAACAAAAAATAAAAACATGAACAAGAATACATCTTAAAGTGAATATGTGACTGAGTTCAAACAGAAAATCCAAGAAAAGACGGCAAAATATTGCAGAAAAAACACCGTACACCAACGCTGTGTACAAAAATCTCAGTGGGATGCAAGTCAAACAACCAACAACAACCACAAGACAACTTAGATTAAGGCCATCAGTCTAACTCTGTACTACAACAAACAAACATGGCTAAACCAATACACTTTTCGAAATAACAGTTGTATCTTCATTTATGTTTCATTGTGCTAGTTCGCGTAGCATGGTTGGCAACGGGTCTGGCGCAAGGAATGAAATGGGACTTCCTGTTCAATTTCCCTCCCTACTTTGTAGTGCGGTGCCTGGGCTCATCTGCCCCAATGCAGTTGCACACCCTGCACACTCGATAGCCAAGCCACTGGTTGTGATTTTTTTTATTTATCTCTCATGTGGGTAGTGGCCAGAGTGGCCGTGTGCATTCAGGGGGTTACACTTTGAGCTGGTGCTTACGCAGAGAGCGCGTGGAGCGGAGGACGATCGCGTTATTCTTGCGTGCGAGACACACTCGTGTGTGCGCACAGGTGGCTTCGCCTGGAGATGATTAATGAACGCATTCGTCGCGCAAGCACGCACAGACCGCCCACTTTTGCTGCCAAAAACAATGGCGTGGTAACAAAAAATGGCCGTGCAAATTGTTGTTTGATATTCAATTTGGCACAACGAGAACACTAATGACGACGCACCGCTCCAGCACAACACCCTGGGATTCACTTCCCTTTGCCACCTGCAGAAAACCTCTTTATTGGTTTGTGGAACAGACTGTTCCGTGTAACGC